TTTTTTTAAAAAAAAAAATTGAATTGTATGTTGTTTTGTTATGTTTAGACTTGGGAAAAGAATCTTAAGAAGCTATTAATCAGTCTTCAAGCAGGGTTGTTAAGAAAATTAGGCAACAACTGGTTTTGATAATCATTGGTATTTGCTCATACTAGTGCAAACTTGTCTTGTATACATATGTATCAGTGGTGGGTTTCAAAAAAATTTCGAACCTACTCTGTGGGTGTGGCCTCCTTTGTGGGAGTGGCTTGCCGGCCATGTGACCTGGGAGGAGTTGCTTGCCGGCCCTGTGCTCTCTCTCTCTCTCTCTCTTTCTCTCTCTCCTTCCTTTTGTCTCTCTGTTCCTTTTTTCCTTTTTTTCTTTCATCTCTCTTTCACTTTTCTTTATTTCTTTCTTTCTTTCTTTCTTTCTTTATTTATTCCTTTCTTTCTCTTTCTCTGTGTGAGTCTCTCTGTGTGTGTCAGGGATGGGTTCTGGCTGGCTTTACTGCCAATTTGCTAGTGTGTGCGCTTTGCGTGTGCATATGTCAAAAGTACGCTTCAAATAAAATTAAAGGAGAACAATCTAGGAGAAAACTTTTATCACTCCAATCCCCCAGATCATCAGTTTAATTTTTCACTGAGTTACATGATAACTCTATCATCTCAGTATTTCATGCACTGTCTGGTATTGGCTCTTTGGGGTTTTAGAGGCAGGATTGTTTTTTCATGTAGAGCTCCTGATATTGTTTCCAAACAAAACTTGGACACTAACTGAACAGTTGTTGAGAAGTGGTATAAATCTCAATGGGAATTACTTTCAGGAATAATCAAATCAGGGATGGGTTTTACTGCCAATTTGCTAGTGTGTGCGCTTTGCGTGTGCATGTGCAGTTGAATTAAAATTGTTCTGCGCCTGCACAGAACTAAAAAACAAGATGTCGATAGCGGCGATGACTGGGGAACCGGTTTGGGAGCATGGCAGGCCTGGGTCACTGCCAGTTCCAGTGACCCAGGCCGCCATACCACTACCGGTTTGACCGAACGCGGCTGAACTGGTAGGAATCCACCTCTGAATCAAGTGAAACTCAGCTGAGCTATGTCATCTATGGTGAGTGTGTTGGGCATAACAGGCTTCAGAATTTGGCTCAGTACATTTTCACAAACTACTTTTTCCATTCCCCTGAGTGCTAATAGTGATTCATTATCACAATCTTCTACTCACCTTGCTGCAGTGAGAAGCAAACAGTTATTGCTCTGCCCTGAAAATCCTCTTGACACCTAATCTCTGTGAAAGGGAAAGGGACACCCTCCCTACCCAAGGTGAAAAGCTGTTCTGCCACCTTTCCCCTTGAAAAATCTGTAAGGACAGGTAGCCCACAGAGAGGCAGCAGTTTTTGCAATTGGGGACATGGGCTGCCCACCAGCTCTGCAGAGCTGCAGCCTTTTAAAGGAAAGGATTAGGTTTACTGCCGTTTCAGAAATGCTGCTGATGAATCAGAAATGACTGGGATTAGCTCTCCAACATTGCTGAAGCCCCAGGATCATGGGCAAGCTGGAACTGGTTTCAAGTTAAGTCCTCTTGTGGAATTGCTTTGAGCTGCTGTCACCACTGTCACCATATAGTAATACTCTATTCTTTCTTCTGCTCTCATGAACCCAGTTTTTGAAATTACATAGCGGCAACTTATTTGCTTATGACCTAGAAAGCCAGGCAGAGAACAGTCCTGGCACCTAACTTCAGAGGTAGGATTGGCTTATCTGAGAAATCCTTCCCCTCTCCTCCCCCTCCCATTAGAGGAGTTAAGGAATACAGTTCTATGTGGGCTAATAGACTATATGGTGGGAAATCAATTATTAGTTTCCCATAGCAGCAGGATTCCCTTCTGATAGCAATTCTGCCCATCTTGGAAAGACTGTATACAGTCTATTACCCAGTCCCATTTACAATATCCTTGGTGAGAAACATATTGGTACCTAAGGATATATTAGAAATATGAGGAGTTAAAGATCCTTTCCTCTGGCAGAACATTTGGAAAAAGCTAGAAAGTTATGCATTCTGGTCAGAGGTGGTATTCAGCTGGTTCAGACGGGTTTGGCCTAACCAGTAGCAGAAATCGCAGGTGGGCTCGCCCCTGCCCACCTGGCCCAGCTCTATGCCATCCTATTTAAGCATGTTTTTGAGGCTGGGTGCATGCATGGAAGGCATGCATGCGAGAGCAAAGTGCATGCACGGAAGGCCGGGTGTGTGCGTGGAAGTGATGTGGGTGCTCGTAAAGTAGACACACGCCGGGCAAACCAATGGTAGCAAAATGTGAAACGCACCAGTGATTCTGGTAGAGAGAAGTTCCTTAAAGAATGGCCTCTACCACTTGTCCAAAAGCTCAGAAGATTAAACCTCTTGTCCCGGTGACTGACCCAGATTGAATCCTTTAACACTATCCCGGGACACATATATTCACTTTCATTTATAGGAAGTTATATTTATTTTAGTTTTCACATTTATATAGCTGCCTATCTCACAAACATGACTACGTGCAGTACAATTAAAATTCACTGGCAGTGAGCATCTATTCAGTAAAATAGTCTGTTTCCTGCAAAGTTTAGTGTCTGAGCTGATCTGGCCATGGCTTCGTTCATCCTCCTCCTAGAAAGTAACAGCTGGTATTAAAATAAAACTGGGAGGCACAGTCTTCATAAAGGAGCTTTGCTTACTTTAGCAATCAAACTGTGCAGTGGTTGCTTGGCTGAAGCTTTATGTGATTAATTAAATTCCAGGAATGCAGAGGAAAGGAGAATTAATTCCTGCTGTTGCTTCCCTCTTGCTCAGTGGATTATTGCAGGGTAGAGAATCATGAGGAGTCAAAGAAAAAAAAATGGCAAAGTGAAAATAAAAACATACTCAGCCCTCAGTTAAGGAAGAAAAAGCATTTGTCTTAGATAAATATCAGATTAAGAGCAGCAGCATAATCAACCATAGTATTTCCACACAGGATTAAAGTGCAAAAGC